TAAACTTATTCATAATAGCTTAATGTTCTTAAAATTTCAGCTTATTTTAGGAACATCTCAGTGGTTTGAAGAATATCTCCCTATTTTTGAAGTGATCTTATATTTAATAAATTTTATGTTTTCAGTGATTAAAACAAATATTAAAATTTTACCTCTTGCCACTTTTCTTCCATCTTTCTAATATCAGGACATGTGATAACAGGACAGAAGCAGTGTGAAAACTGGGCTTAAAACTAGTATTTTTTCCTGTAATCATTCATGTTGATCCTGGTCTCTGGCCGGATGCCTTGGTGGGAAGGGAGACCCACACAGAGTGTTGGAAACTATGGTTCTTATTGTTTCTGTGACGTGGAAAGTCTTAATCATAGGAGATTATTATTCTACCTTGATACTTATACAGAACCTTAGCTCTGGTATTAAATTATCCAATTTCTTAGAGATTCACTTTATCATCAGGTTTTATGGTAAGAGATTGAACAGTTATTCCAATATGTAGTTGTATTAGCCTGTCATGGGTACACTGTACCATCTTCAGAGTGGGATAAAATACCCTGCCAATTACATCTCAAATAATCCGCTGCAGAAGTTGGAAGTTGCTAGTGTCAACCCTCAGACAGTTCAATTAACCCAAAAGTTCAAAAGGAAGATTTCTGATGGTACTTTTCTTTTTACTGGACTATCTTTCTTGATACAATTTATTACATGACATGAAACAGAAGGATAGAGAGCTCTTTAATTTTTACAGTAAGTCGGTGATTAAGGTGCTGTTCTATTGCTATGAATACCAAGTTCTTATTAATTGACTTTACTAAACTATCCTTTTTCAACACTTACTGTGGTTATAATATATATCAATTTATTAGAGTGAAGCCCTACTGTAGTATTTTGCATTCCGGGGTGTGTGTGTGTGTGCATGTATGTGTATGAAGACCTAGCAAAAGAAAACCCTGGAAGCAGGAAATAGCCCAGACAACAAATACTTGTTAGTATACAGGGAAGTCCATTACAAAATCAGAAACCATTCGGGAAACACAAGGAATAAAATGGTTGTAAAAAATTTTCACCCTAATCAGGCACCCCGAAAGACTACATTTCTCTTATTTTAAAGGTGCTGTCTTTACTTCCTGGTAATATGCCTATTTAAAACTCAACTGAACAACAGCATGTTTCCAAACAGAAAATATGTGCTGATATGAAATTATCTCCATATGGAGATGACACTAAGATTATCTGTAGAAAATTAACATTAATTCAAAATAAATTGCCAAGACTAATGGCTGAAGTCAGCATATTTTAAGTACATATTATATATACACAGAGCCTATTTTTTTTTTCTAAGTTCAAAATAAAGATGTCTTCATTATAGTAGTTTGGAAATTTATGATGATGGCACTATGTAAGATTCTAATGATAAGAATCATTAGAACAGCCATATGAAATGAATGATATGAACCTGCCAAAAGGATTAGTTCAGTTCAGTTGGGTCCTCTGGATAATAATTATGATGCTAATTGCATAATTAGAGAAATAATAGAGTAGATGGATTGTACATTACTTTTCTGTCCTAGTTTGAGACCATTACTTTATCATTAGTTCAAAGACAAGGATGCTAGCGTTGTCATAGCAACAAAGTTAAAAACAATGAAAAAATATTAATGCTTCTGAAAGTCAACTACCATTTGAATACAATATTAAACACTCTTGTTGGACGGAATCCATGTTTTCCTTTTGTAAGCGTCTTCCAAACCTGTAATATGTTGGTTTTCCACTATGATCTCAGTGTTCATATGTATCTATCATGTTATGTAAATATATAGATGTTTCCATATGTGAAGGACAGATTATCAGGTTCAAGCATGGCTGACTTTTACCTCCCCATCAAACTCTGAGAGGAGGATTTGAGTTTTATTCAATCTGCCTTTACTAATGCAACTTTATTGTGTAAGAAGTATGTGAAGAATATGAATCATTGTACTTCACACTGCTACTTTCCAGTATACTAGCATAACACTCTTGACAACTACAGACAAGGAGTTAAAATTTGCCTCAGAAAAGTTCTTTCAAGGATGTTTAGACAATTAGACTTATTTGTAAGTAGCCTACTGATGGCACAAACTTTAAAATATGAAGAATATTTCCTTTGTTAACAGTTATTTCCCTTTCCTTTTACAGGGTGCAAGGGCAAATTTTTATGTGTTTAATACTACCAAATTATGAGCTAGTGGCAAAGAAATGAGGTCTTATTGTTTCTTTGTGTTTCTTTTTGAAAGTTGCCATTTAATTTGCTTCCATTCCTCAGGAGGAAAGAGAATCTTAAAACATTGGTGGATTTGATGTTTTCAATAGTCATCGGTGCCAGAAGAAGTTCATGAAGAACAAAACAGGATAGACAGATGTCATTTTAAACACTTTGTGACAGAAATAACCACGCATACATAGTTCATTATCTCCTTGTGAGCCGCTATACCCGAAACAACCTCATAGTTGTTCCTCTCTCATTGCTTTTACTAAAACTATATTGTTGTCATTAAAGCACAGTCCCTTATCCCATTAGCATGTGAAATATACAGTCAGAGCAGTCAGCTGAACTGAGGCAATGGAGTGTACTGCAAAGACCAGGCCAGTGGCACGGGGTACGTTCCAAACCTGCCCTCAGAGAGCAAGGGGAAATACTCCTCCCCGGCCCCTCCTTCTAGCGTGGTGCCTGTTGGGCTGACTGACTTGGTTAAGTGGATGCACTAAAAAATAAACATTTGCCTCTTGGAAGCTCATAAAAGTGTACTAGAAAAGAGTCCCTAACATTGGATCCGCGCAGACTGCAGCCATTGACTTTTGGAATGGGTAGAACAGAGAACCCTTCACCGACCAGTGGATAAATAGAAAGAAATAGCAACTCCACGTATTTCAGTGTCGTATTGGAAGATGAACAAGGCAACGGATTAGGAGTCTCTATCGCTGTCNCGCCTCCGTACATGTCGGCGAGCTTTTTGAACCGAGGGCCCCAGTCACTCAGGTAGTCGTAGTCTTGGTCTCCATCTGTGGTCGCCGACTCCAGCGAGCTCAGGGAATCGGCGACGGAGCCGGTGCCCTCGTAGGCGTAAGTGGCCAAGGAGTCGTAGGGTGGGGCAGTGGGGTCCGTGTCATTTTCCTTTAACCTTTGGTTAATGAAATCTCTGACGTCGGTGTTGTCTCGAGCTGCTGGAGTCCGTCGGGGTAGAAAAAGGGCTTCGGGCACAATGTCCCTGCGTAATTTGCTGTCCTCTATGGCTTCAGGATTCCTCAGAGTGCCGATGTCAAAGGCCTGCGTGTCCTCCTCTCCACCACCTTCGTCATTGTAGCTGACAATGTTGTCTCTGATGTCCTCTTTGGAAATGATCAAAGGTTCCTTTTTCCGCTGCCTCCTCAAAGCTGCAAACAACACTACTGTCACTGGAAGCAGAAATAAAACAGAAAGGGAAGGGAAAGTTAATTTGCTACCCAATTAATGTCAGGAAGAAACACTGTGCTCCAATGTAGAGTTTTAAAAGTTCTCTAGGAAACTGCAGACTCAACTTTTATTTCTTTAAGGCTGCACCTGCCTCCTTGCATGATCAAACCAGGAACCCAAACGCAGGAGTAAATATTTGAAAGGAAGTTACAATTTAATAGGAGATAAAACACCTTCATATTTTGTCAGTAGTTCCTTTTGGCTTTGAAATGGCAAACTTGTTCCAAGGTAAGGAAAAAAATAATATAATAATAAAAAAAACCCTCAAACACAGTGAGAGTTCTGCAATAAGAGTGCAAATTATGCTGAACACCTAAAATGCTCTGAAACTGCTTATAAGCACAAGGCTGGCACCTTCGGGAAGTGTTAAAAGGTTTGCATAACTCCACATCTAAAATAACTTTTGCACTATGCCTTTTTTTTGAGAGAAATGTAAAATAAGTTTAAAACTCAAGGTAGAGATGTGAATGTTTGCACACCTTTCCTACATGTGAGGAATATTATTACAGGTAATGCCTAGAGAGACCCAGATACAATTCAGAAAGCCATTTTGACTTCAAAATCAGCCAATTTGAAAGGGGGCAGTAATAATACACATACACCAAATTATTTCTGTTTGAGCGAAACAAAATAAACCCATTTAAGTGGAAACTTAAAAAAAATTTTCTTTCAAAGGTTCATGTTCTGTTAAGTTTGTTGTCCAGAATGTTTGCTCTTTTGATTTTCCTCGTAACTCATATTGGAGGAAAAGCAAGAATTGTGTTTAAATAGCTCCTGATGTTTCTTCACAGCTGGCTGTGTAGAACACAGCTGGCTACCTGTAGAGAGACACATCTAAAAATGGACATATGGGTGGGAAAATAA